TCTCTCTCTCTCTCTCTCTCTCTCTCTCTCTCTCTCTCTCTCTCTCTCTGAGGTGACTTCAGCCCCGCCCCACCTAGCCCAGCTCACAATACCCATCTATTTCCCTCCATTCTCAATCATTCATCCCAAGCCACTTCCCTCTTCATGAATTAATCAAACCAAGATTTGGCCCTGGGTTGAGGCTTCTGTTCCACTGAGCCATCATTCTAACTGAATTTAGGGCCCCCTTGGCTCCCCACAACTACAAGCATGCCTTATCATCTCTATTCTCATCGTGCGCTGTGTTAGAAGTGGTAGATAGTGAAATTCCATGAAGTTTCCCTAGGGATTACAAAAATAAACTTCCCAGACAGTGACTCGGTCCAGGATGGGCTTCCTATGTGAATCCACTGATGAATACAGTGTCCCCACGATGCAAAACCTTCCACACACACATGACTCTCAGGGGAGAGGTTAGATCTATCTACACCACAATGCTCACCTTCAGAGGTATCAATTTCTTGGGAGCTCTTAGGCACCCTCAGAGCTGACAACATAAAACACCCACAGCCAAGCCCTGGGGGAAGCTGTGGTCCACCCCACACCCTCAAAGCCACTGCCTCTGAGTATGTGGCTCCAAGACTCTGGTTGGACACCCGCACTTCACAATGTGCCCAGGAGCCACTTTACTGTCAGCCAGGGCAGCAGCTAGAGGGTGCACAGGAGGGGGCGTGAGCTCCAGTCCCCGGGGCCAGCAGAGCCGAGATTGGGTGGGTGTTGCGCAGGGAGGACAGACTCATCCTTCTCTAGTCAACAGCTTCCTGGCTCACGGTACAAGGGGGCAAGACCATGGACCACCAGTCTTCTTGCCATCCTGCTATTCTGGGTTCTTCTCTGGGTACAGTGCATGGTCCACACCACGCTCGAAACAAAATCCTAGGAGGAGAAGGCCAGATGGGAGCCAGGGACAGCGACTCAGCCAGCCCACATGATCCTGAACACCAGGTTCTGATTTTAACAGAATAATTCTTCAGTGACAGTGGAGGATCCCATGGGGTAGGGGTGGTGCAGGGCAGGGGACCTTGACATCCTGAATCAGCAACGAAAGAAAACTTCACAGAAGCTCCACACCACCACATGCCTTCTCCCCTGCAGGAAACACACACCCCAGGTCATCCACCAGCAAACTCTGAAGCATGATCGTAAATAACTAAAATAAAATTACAGTTGTCAAAACAAATTAGCAAAGACTCGGGAGTCTCCGTTCCCTCCTCCTGCTCACCATCCTGGGAGTTCTGTCCACCATTGTACAGAAGAGCTTGGGGAGAAAGGGTCTTCAGGACACTGAGACAATTGGCCGAGATGCAGCTGGGATGGAGAAAGGGCGAGGGAACACCTGCAGGGACCGGACAGCACAGAGAAAGCCCTGTGTGTGGCCCGCGCGTGGAGCCGGGAGTCACCCTGAACTTGGGCAGCTGGATTGAGCCCCCGGGGGTCGGGGTCAGCTCTGCACACCATACGCTCCAGTGCCCCAAGCCACCAGATCCCAAGAGGCAGAAGGACACTGCCAGGGTATCTGGTAAGAGAACCCCGCCTGCTCTCCTGCTGCTAGAACAGGAAATGAGGTCCTGCGCCCCCAGTGCCTGACAGCCAGCACTGGCAGGACGAGGGCGTCAAATCATCCCTTGTCCCGTGTGCACGTGAGCTCCACGCCTGCGTCCAACTGCAGGCTGCAGTTGCTTTGTCCATGGTAGCAGCCTCCTGACTGCTCTCTTGCTCTCCTGGACACCCTACTGGTCAGGTAAGCAAAGCAGCTGATCACTGTGCCCATTTCACAGATGGGGAAGCAGAGGGCTACAAACATCATCTGGCTCATGGTTACTCGGGTAGGCAGTGGGATGCTGGGTCCGAGCCCAGACTGCTGCATACCAGTACCAATCACGACGGGAGCTGGTACTGGCAGCCCTTGTTGGGTGGTAGACACTTCCCATACTTCCTCACTGGAGCCAGGCAGTAAGGAAACAGCAGTCCCTAGAGACAAGCCGCTGGCAGAGGACAGGAACTAGCTGCGCTTGGTGGGAGCCAGGGAGGCTGGTGGCCAACACCAAGCCGGTGGGGAGCAGACAGTGAAGACCAGGAAATCTGATCTGGGAAGATCTGCAGATTTGCGAGGGCGGGAATGGCAGCCGTAGGGGATGCGGGTGCCTCCAGATTTCCACCCAAGGCCAGTCAGAACATCTAAGAAAGTGGTACCATTTTCCCAATGGCATCAGCTAATAACGGTGACTGTTCACAGCTCTCACTTATGATGCACCTACTGCGTGTGGGCATGGGTAGCCTCCACGCATCCCCTTGTTCAAGTCTCAAGTCCACCTCCAGATACAAGTCCTTGTGGTCTTATCCGTGTTTTCCATTTGGGATTTAACAAGTTAAGTCGCTCATCCAATACTCCAGCCACTGGCAGAGCCAGGATTTGAACCTATGTCTGAGAGCAGAGACTGAGTTCTGAATATCAGCTTCTACCCCGAGCTGCGTGCACGTGTGTGGGTACACACACACACACACACACACACACACACACACACACGTCCTCCCTGGGTCCCAGGAAACAGAGTGGGAGCTGGCGCTGGTGCGGCCTACAGCACTACGATTTCTCGAGGAACTTGAACACAGCCCTTCCTTCCTCTTCTTGCCCTGGGCTCTGAGGCAGGCCAACTCCGGCCCATGAATTGGGGTGCAGCTGGGGTGCCTGGAGGAGGGGCCTCACTTCTCTCTCCTTTAATGGCTCTCTTTCCTTCCCAAGGAAGCAATTAAGACTCAGGATTAATGGACAGGGCTCAGGCTCTCAAGTCCCACCTGCTGACAGACTCTGGATTCCCCCAACCTGCCACCCCCATCCCTCCACCTTTTGGGGGAAAAAAATCCAGCCAGCTTGCTTATCTTAGTGTGGGGTTGTCATGGAAACGGCATCCCCGGTGAGATGCACTGTCATAACATTTCGCTGCCGTTCGGAACACTTAAAGACACAGCCTCCTGCTTCCCAGTCTGGCCCACTGGGCCGTTGTCACAGGGGCCAGGCTTTGCAATAGGGGTGAGGGCCTAAGATGGTGCTGTCCTATCATTCTGGCCTGTTGAGGTAGGGAGGGGGGAGGGAAAAAGGAGGGAGGGAGTAAGAGGGAAGGAGTGGGTGGGAGGGAGGGAAGGAGCCCAGAGACCAAAACTTCCCCTTTCCTCATGACACCTGGGCCAGGCCATGTGCCCTGCCTGGATAACTCAGTGGTCGAACTCTGAAGCCCGAGAGTTGGCCTACTACGATGCCAATTCTACAGAGGAGTGAAACTGCAGCCCATGGAGGGAGGTTAAGTAATTGTCACAGACATTTTATACCAGGTGACTGGGCATACTGCACATAAATGAATCTTTATTGCACACGGATTCACACTGACCATACCTTTGATCATTGATTTCTCCCCCAGAGTATAAACTCCGTGAGGCAGGGAATTCTACCTAGTGCTATAACCCTGCCCTGGGCTGCAGGGACAGATACACAGTCTGGGGACAACGAGGCAGGAAGACAGCGACACTGGATGGCTTCTGAGTGCTCCAGAGAGCAGCCTGGCCGGTGACACCTCAGAGTGTCCCCAGCTGTGGCAGGACAGGTCTGCTGATCCCTGGCATGGACCAGGGCAGAGAGGATGCTCAAATCCCTGCCGTCTGAGCTTTGGGCCTGGCCAGCCGCAGTGTCGCACACGCAGCATCTCGGGACCCTCAGAGTGGGCTCAGACCACTGCTGTTTTTGTTCCCCACGTGGGGAAGTACAGGCTCAGGGAAGCTACGAGGCAGGACAGCTCCTCCCCTCCCACGCCACTGCCCTGTGGGTCTAAGATGAGAAGATTCCATCCCCCTCAGCCAGCAAAGCCGGCAGAATCACTCAGCTTTGTCTGTGAGGTGGGGGACTTGGTTTCTGGAGCCCCACCTGCTTGCATGCTGTTAACGAGGTGAGAGCTACCGTGTCTCTCCGAGCCTGGGTTAGCCCGAGACACCCTTGAGGAGACCACAATGTTGAGGAGACCTCAACAACAGGAGCGAATGCCATTATTTTAAGAAAACTCTGGTCCCAATTCACTGAGACTCAAAACCCATCCTGCTGTTGCCCCACCCTCCCCATCTCGTCCCCACCCCACGAGCAGCACATCTGCCCCCTCCAATCCAGCCCAGCCTGGCTGAGGGCAACGGGGGGTCTTCCTCCAATCCCCCCAGAGGAATACAGGGACAGGGCTAAGTGGACTGTTGTTCACAGGTGACAAGGAAGTGACCACAGACAGACGTCACACAGCTCCCTGTGCAAATTCCACACACAGGCAGGGCACAGGGCTGGATGAGCCCTGGGTGCTGTCCCCTATTGGTGACAGATGCTGTCAAGCAGGCAGGAGGACACAGGACATCACGGGTCTTCACTCAGAGCCAGAGTCACAGAGCTCCTTTCCCCGTGGCCCCGTCCTTCTGCCACCTCTGCCAGGAGGGACAGAGCCAACAGGACCCACTGCCCCACTGTAGCATGGACCAGAGGCTAAGCCCACCCTCTGGAGTTCAACCTGCTCCCCTTCATATGGGACAGGGCATGCCCACCCTGCACCACAAGACACCAGAGCCTGAGGGAAAGCAGTGGGCTGGCGGCAATGCACAGAAGCTGGATGCCCCCTCATAGGCACCACTGCCAGACGAGAAAGTCGCCCGGTG